GAAAGAGCCCAAAGCATCACCTGGATACCTGGAGCCACCTGGGCGGGTGGCTGAGCAAGGGAGATGAGGCTGCCGTGGCCCTGCAGGGCCCTGAGTGCTTGCCATGAGCTAAGAAGTAAGCACAGGCTTGAGGGCCAGGCAGGCACAGTGAACTCCTGGCCCCTCCGTGCCCTGCAGGGGGCACACAACCTCCCGGAGCCTCAGTTCCCCCATCTGTGAACAGTGATAGTTAGCGACTCAGCGAGGTTGCTGTGGACGTCAGTGAGGCACAGTGAGGACTCCGGCAGCGCGGGTGTCGTCCATCCCGCAGCAGCAGTGGGGAGCCGAAGGACAGCGTCCTGGGGCACCTTGGTCAAGAGAGCACCTCCATTGGGGGAGCGGCGCCCCACCCGCCGTTCAGCAGGGTGAGCTGGGGAGATAGCCTCTGCATGGACTCCTGCGACGGAGTCCTACGCACCAGTCCCAGAGGGCACGTAAATATTATATGCAAGTATTTTTAAGTCATTTCATCATGAAAAAAAGCGATTTAACATAACTATTACCCAGGATTCTTCATGAAATATGCATCAAGCAATTAGGTCTAAAAGCGAGAGGTGAGGCCTCGCACCCTGCTCGGGCCGGCAGCTGCGGGCTGAGTGATGTTTTATTAAAGCCTGTGATTATGAGGCGAGGTGGGGCCTGCTATTAGGCCCTGCACGCCAGGCGTGTTTGATAGTCCTGGTGATGAGGAGGTGCTTCTTGTGATGATAATGAGCAACCTGAGCGCCACGACAGCCCCCACACCCCTAGCCTCTGGGGGCCTTACAAGGCTCATTAGAAAGGTCACCCACCAGAGACATCCCTAATTGTGACTTTGCTCTCGCAAGATGTCCTATCAAAGGAGACAGGGCTGACTCGGGAGCCTGGCAGGTGGCTGCAGCCCCTCTGACTCCCCAGGGACCTGTACCTTTCCAGAAGCAATGATGGGGAGGTGGGGTGGCCTGGGACTCAGGGCCCCTGGGTGCTGACGAGAGAGCCCACCCCCCCACCCCCGGCTGTGTGTGCTGGGCCAGAGTGTTGCTGTCTCTGAACTCAGTTTCCACCAGAGCACCCCAAGAAGGCGAGAGCAGACGGCCCCCAGGCCGCCCCGCCCCGGAGGCACTCTGTCCAGAGCAGCCGGAGCATCCCGTGCATGCTGGTTGTCTGATGTGGCCTCGGTCCTCCCAGAAATTTTTTATTTTTTTTCCTCTTTTTATGCTTGATGTCTGCAGTATAGAATTGGGAGTCATTAAAGCTATCCCTGGCATATGTTTTTAAGTATTCAACTGCTGTTAGGTAGCATCTCGTGGCAACATTGTGCTCGGGATATGTTATTACAGCACACCTCTCCGGTGTGTTTTGACAAGGCCTCCCCGACCTCCGCCTGAGTCGGGGTTTGACAGAGACAGTCTCCCACGGAAAGCCTGCTCGCCTCTCAGAGCCCACCAGCCCCGTGGGAGGGGTCACCGCCCTGCCTCCGTGGCCGGGCCTCCGAGGCTGGGCCTCCCCAGGTCAGGACACGCCATCCTCAGTCCCTGGGGTGGCCTCTCACTGCCAGCCGTGCTGCCTCTGCCCCGCCATCAGCCCGGCAGGCTCGGGGCCAAGCGGTCCCTTGGTCAGGATCTAATGCCTCTGGCTGCCCACCCTGCCTGGCCCCATGTGGAGTGCTGAGGGCTAAGTAGGGCCCTCTCCTAGAGCAAGATGGTGCTGAGGCCCGGAGCACCGGCTCCGGGGAAGCCCTGCCAGCGAGGGAGACAGTGGCCCCACCGCCGCTGGTCCCCGTGTGGCATGGGGTCCGCCCCCTCCCCGCTGAGCCTCTTACTCTCAGCAGGAGGCCTGGCTCACAGCAGTGCTGAGCCCAGGGGGAGGACCATTCTTTGGGGGGGAGGGTTCCATTGTGAGGCCCAACTCTTGGCCTTTCTACCTCTTTTGGGGAATGGTCATGCCATAGGGTCAGACTGGGGGTCACAGGGCCTGAGTTCTCTCCCTCGGTCTCTAACTGTCATGACCGACCCGCCCCCTTGGTACCGCACAGTTACAAACCAGCTTTCAAGTGTCGGAGGAGCAGACAGTGGGCCTGGGGAGTCAAGGAACTACGGGAGGTGCTCACAGCCCTGCTGCCTCGCAGGCCCTTCTGCTGAGGTGGGAGCATCGCCATGGCATCTCTAATACCTGGTGGCCGCTTCGAGCCTGTGACCTGGGAACAGGAGCTTCTGCTTCTACCTCTGGCTCTGTCAGCTGTTGCCACCCTCCCAGCCTACTACCCTTGCTGGTTGTTTCAGTAACAACCTGTGTGAAAATGTCCTGTTAACCCACACGAGTTACTTTCCTCGATGTCCTTAAAAATTAAATCAGTGCTTCCTGCAACGTCATACCCGGAGGGCACACAGAGCCTCAGCGTTCAGACTGCTCACAGCCAGCCACTGTGATCCTGCCTTACTCTGTGAGCTGTGGTCTGGTGCCCTGTAACAGGACGACTCACAAAGAGGAATCCATGTGCCCGAGGCCACGCCTCCCCCGGCCTCAGCCAGCTCTTACCTGCAGCCCCTGCGCTCCCCCCACCTGCCCCTGGTGGCCTCTGAGAACACCGACTTTCTTTTAACTGTCCCGCGTTCTCTTAGCTCCGTTCAAGCAAGTGCGGTCCTTCCAGGCCAGCAGAGAGCGGCGGGTGGCCGAGCCTTCGCTCAGATGGCTCTGCGTTTTCCACTTATGCACACACCATTTCCCTTCTAACAGCTGAAGCAAGTGCGCCTCCTGCTCCTCAGACGCGTTGAGGCAATTCTCAAATGAAATGACCCTTCACTGCGGAGCAGAACTTGCCACAGGCTCTGTAATTAGAACATTGTCAGCCTTAAAAAATCTTGATTTAAATTTCAGTTCTTTATAGGAATTATTCTCTCTTGAAACATAATTGCTCTCCAAACGATTTCCTTTAAGCCGAGGGTGACATCTCTAAGTACGCTGTTATGAGCCGATGAATTGCTCGGCGCCTGCACTCCATCACGCGTTCGCTCTGCCCATTTGAAAATGGTCCCGGAGTCCAAACTGATGTGTTAAGAGAAGAGGTGCTAGTTAAGCGAGGGGACCTAGTCCTGACCGGGTCAGGTGTGTGTGCGCCCTCCAGTGTCCCCGTGAGAGCAGCCAGAGCCAGAAGAGCCGAAGCTTACTTAGAAAGGAGCCCTGAGTCCACGCAGAGCCCTCCGCCTCACCGGGGGAAGGGCCTGGCTACAAGTGACCGGCGTCCGGGAAGATAACTTGGAGAAAGCGGCCGGAGTCAGAGCCCCGGCTTTTCTCACTGACAAACTCTCAGTTATTTTAGACTATGCTTTGGAAACCACAGCATCCGCAAGGGAGGCGGCGAAATAATAAGGGCCAGGCTCAGAACTAAGCGGGCCGAGAAGGGCAACCTGGGCAAAGGCAGATCGACGGAGGGCGGAGTGATCTGATGCGGCCAGGGCCCTGGATGGGCATGTGAGAGGTCCCCTAGGGGCAGGTGGAAGCAGCACGGCCTTTGCCTTCGCGAGCCGCGCCCTACCCAGCAGGCTGGTGCAGCTAGACGGCTGCAAGGGTCACAGGGCACAGAGCTGTGCTCTCATCTCCAAGGAACCAACCCCCTGCAGACGCGAGGCATGGTGGACACAGACCCTGCTCTGGGGAGTTCTTGGAAATTGGGAAGGTGTATACCCAGCACAGATCCTCCCCATACGCCGTTGGCTAAAACTAACCACATGGGTACAGTGGCTCCAAGGGAGGCTGGGAAATGTAGTCCCGGCCGGACGGCCCCCTCCCGGTTACAGTACCGTGCTACACTAAAGGGCAAGCATCAGTTTTTGGAAAGTGGCTCACCTGCCATCCCTGCCACACTCTGTCCACATCTGTAAACTGGGGGTGATGACCCCTGTCCTGACCAGTGGTACACCTCACACCTTCCAAGTGTCAACATAAAAAACGCCCGATCCTGTGAGAATTTTTATGAGTTTGAGCCAAACTGATGACAAACGCCAGGAAGCAAAGTCTCAACGAATTAAGGGAACGGCAGTTATGCGCCTTATTTTATACATTACAGTCAGAGGAGGAGGCATAAAGGGGTCACGTGAAACCCATCTGCGATAGATTACAGAGGCAAAAGGAGGCAAAGGCGGGAATCTCCGGGACTGGATGAAAACTAGACCGAGTAGACACATGCTCCTTTCACGTTTGTAGGTATAGGAGAGTTAACAGCAATTAACAGTCACAGTGAGGGTATCCGTGGTCTCTGCTCTGGTGCCAGGGCTGCCCCTCGAGGGGTCTGGGGAGAGGAAACTACTTTGACATTACGAAGGTGTGTGATCTTTGATGCAAAAGGACAGCTGACAGGCTCCCACCCCAGGACATGACTGCCTGCCATGAACTGCTTCTAGTTCAACAGCTTTGATTTCAGACCGTCCTGGACGGTCAGGACTTTGGTCTCTGAGTTCGTAAGGCTGCCACACCAGCCTCCCCTGAGCTCATCAGGTTTCGTCCGCGGCCCCCTTTTCGCCCACACAGGCAAGGCTTAAATACTTGACTGCATGAGTAACTGGCAGAGGGGCTGGGGTCTTGGGGTCCACAGACGCCCTTGCCGCAACACCAGTGTCTGCTGCTGGTCCCAGGTCCCGTGCCCTGGGGGCCCTGGGGGAGCTTCCGGTGCAGCTGTATTTTGGCCAGGCCTGGACTTTGGTCCCGGCTTGGAGAAGTGTGACTCACAACAGCTCCATGGCAGGATTTCTTCTGTCCTGGGCAGGAGGACTCCTTGCACCTTAGTGGGAATTTGGCCAGAGGGATGGTTCTCCACAGTAATGGGTATGAATACACGACATGTCCTTGTTCAGAGCTAACCCGAGGGGCTGAGAAATTGCTCTCCTGCTCCTCAGCCCTCCCGAGCCTGTCCCCTCCTCCTGACTGCAGTCAGGACGCACTCTTTGCCATTCTGCAGATCCTAACAACCTCTGTTTTGTTTCCAGGAGCAACCAGGGCTTTATGCACATGAAACTGGCCAAAACCAAAGAGAAGTACATTCTGGGTCAGAACAGCCCCCCGTTCGACAGTGTCCCAGAAGTCATCCACTACTACACCACCAGAAAGCTGCCTATCAAAGGGGCTGAGCACCTGTCCCTCCTCTACCCTGTGGCTGTGCGGACCCTGTGAGCGGACCAGCCCTGCCCCAGCCTTGCCCTGCTCTGCGGCAGGGCCTGGAGTTGGAGGAGCCGGAGCCCCGCCCACCGGCCCGGCCAGTCGCCAGCGGCGTCCAGTTCGTGTCGTGTGTACGGTGCCAGCGCACCACTGCATGTCTCTAGAAATGCTGTCGCCACTACAGGGGGCTGGAGACGGCCTGGTAAAGACAGAGAGACGGCCCACTAGCCGCCCCAGCCCCCAACCCCACCCCCTCCTTGAGTTTCTGTGAATTAAAATATTTGCAAATCCAAAGAGATGCCTTCCAGGATGAACAAAGGAGAGCAGCTCCGAGGGGCGGGGCGGGAACTCCCTGGGCTGCAGCTCTTTGTTCTCTGAGTTGCGAATTCACACCTGTGCAAACCCCACTGGGCCCCCTGGTGCTGGGAGCAGAATGTCAGTGCTGGGAGAGCGCGGAAGGCCCCCGGTGGCCTGCCTCCTCTCTGGTGTGTGTGTTTGTGTGTGAGTGTGAGCACATAACATACGTGAGAACATCATCACACACAGATGTGAGTAAGCCCACTAATCCACTCTTAGTCACTCATTGTAATCATTAGATCTTCAAGGAATCATTGTGCGGTCAAAAAGAGGATTGAATTATTTATGAATAGGGTGTGTAAATAAAATAGTCATTTAATATATATTCTTAGCCCTTTTTTTAACATCTATGCACCAGAAAGGGTCTCTGAGGGGGCTGTGCTTACCTGCGGGTGTGTCTCCTGGACCTGTGTGGAGGGAGGCAGAGGCAGTGGGTGGAGCCGGAGTTTGCTTTGTCCCCAGAGAGTCAACCTGCTGGAGAGGTGACAGTAGCCTCAATTGTCAACCCAACAGCCAGGCTCTACCTTCTTCCCACAGCAGCCCGGTGGGGGCAATTCTGCATTAAACCCTCAGGGGCACGGCACCCAGCAGCCTACAAAGGACTCCCCCGGTTTGGTCCCAGTCACCCTGTGAGGCATTTAACGGGTGGATGAAGGGGGGCTCAGAGAGGGGTAGTAACCTACGTGACTTCACTGTCATCCTGCTCCGCGGGAAAGGCACACCTGGACCTCTCATGGCACACGGAGCCCCATCACTCATCCACACACAGGGCGGACCCTCAAAGGCCACGAGGTGGTGGTTATTCCACTCCCCTTCCTTTCCCACCTGCCCACCCGCACACTAGAGCAACTGCGAATGGGAGAAACAAGAACCCACCCAGCGGCCTGCAAGGTGTGGCTTCCATCACTGAAGAAGGTACGAGGGACCCGGCTACCACATGAGTTTCTGGTTTCAGCACCTTCACCAAGCACATGTCCTCCTGCCTGCCCAGTTGGTCTGCAGGGAGTGGAAGTTTGGTGATGTGTCCCCAGCATGAGGGGCCGAGTTTGAACTTTGCCAGCCGGTCCGGACATTTGGTACTGCCAGGGCTTCGCAGATGCTGTAGGCTCCCTGCTCAGGTGAGGAGACAGGCCAGCGAGGGACAAGATGGTATAGAGCAGAACTAAAAGCTGTGTTCCTTTAAAGGTGGCTGCCGTGGATTTCCGTGACCTATGGCCAAAGCTGTCTCTTAGTGACCAGCCTTTCTGCCCCATCAGCCTCTTGGGCCATCCTCCTGGGGCCTTGTCCATCAGCCTAGGTGGCCGCCAGCCCCCTCACCTGGGGATCCCACAGACCCATACACCTCATGAGTGCCAGGTTGACTGTGGTCTGAGTCCAGTCTTCCAAAGACTCAACCTTGACCTTTTGCCTATTTTGCATTTTCTGAAACATCCTTTGAAACAAGAAAGTATCTGACTGATTCATCACTTCTTCCTCCCCCCTCCTCCTTTTTTGTTTTTCTAATGTTTAGTTTAGTTTAGTTGTTGTTCATGTACACTTTTCTGTCTTTTATTCCCAGCCCAGCCCACCCCCCAGCCCTTCCTGCCTCCCTCTTTTTTGTAAATGAGAAAATGAATGAAGAGTTGGCCCTCGACCAGAAAAGTGCCAGGAGAGCCTGGATCCCCAGCACAGAGTTAGAGGCTGGGGACCTGGGAGGCAGCCGCGGAGCCAGGGCTGGGGGAAGCTTCATATCAGGTCCTCTTCCACCAGCAAGCCGGATTTCTCCACAGAAGAGGCTCCGTGCCTGCAGTCTGGGGAAAAGTGAGGCCGCTTCACGGTCTGGCCTTGGCTTTGCTCTTTTTAAGGGATCCCTGCCTCCACGTCCTCAAGTTCCCCCCGGGGGGGCCCAGCCTTTAGCTCCCCCCAGGGACTGAGGCTGGAGGAGCCAGCCTACAGGATGGGAGCTGCTAAAAGGAATTTTTTTCTTTAATTTTATGAGCCTCTCCCTCCTCTTCCTCTCATTGTGGCCGTTTCCTCTGTCAGCGTGGATTCATGTTTTCTTGGACATCTAACAATTGAAACAGCTTTTTCCCTTTCAGAAACACGCATATTCAGGTTACTGGTGTTAGTTTGGTTTTTGTTTGGGCTTTTTTCCTCATCTGCTGCCAATTAATGGGCGGGGGTTGTGGGGGGAATAAGCTGAATTTCTTTGAGGAGGGGGGAAAAAAAAGCTCCCAGCCACACAATACCCCGCCCACCCTCGGCGTTTTGTCTCGGAACACACAGCCTCCAGCCACTAACAGGCCGCCCTGAGCGCAGCCACGGGACTTTTGTTCCCCTTTCTTTTCCTCTGCTGTCTTCATTGTTGACCATAATGACCCAGCCACTTCAACGGCTGTGCCCTTGAGCTGTGTCCTTGAGCGCTAAGGAGTCAGGGGCCTGTTTGGCATCCCCTCCTCCCCCAAGAAGGCTCCACAGGAAGAAACGGGGCTTTGTGGGGAGAGAGGGCCCACCTGCCCTTCAGTACGAGGGTCCCGTCAGAATAATCACAGATGCTAACGTCCCCTCCTGGAGCGGCTCACAGAGCAGCCCCTCGCGGGGGAGAGGGGAAAGGCTCCTCCCAGTGCATCTCTGGACTGGTCCTTCCGCAGCGCGGTGTGAGCCAATGGCCGCCAACAGATGGCGCCCTTGCCCTACTCTGCTTCTGCTGCAGTTGCAGGGACCCGAGTGTCATTTTAAGATTTTGAACACCGAGCTCAGGCTGGCTCTCCATGACACTCTCGGAAGTGGCTGATGTCACTTGGCCCAGGTCCTCGCAGGAACAGACAGCCAAGCTTACTCTCAGACGCGGGGGACAGTGCATGCAGCAACCAGGCCGGAGGGTCAGGCTGGCATTGGAGGTGGCCCACGAAGCGTCCCGGTTGGATCCAGGGAACTGCCACATCTCTCCACCCTTCCAGCATCTGTTACCAGCAAGGACCAAATGGGGCAAGTTGTCCAGAGGGGGCCAGCACGACCCAGGGCCTTGGACGTGGGAGCACCTTCCAGAAACTCAGCGGGACCCACTCAGGCAAGCCTCTAACAGAGTGACATTCTCATCCCTGTCCGCTCTCCTCAGGGCCGTTGTGTCACTACAACTAAAAAGTTGTCCTGTGAAGCTCTAAATCTGTGTGATAAACTGAGTAACGATGTATAGTTAACATGAAGCTTTTGGGATACAAGTGTCTTGTTTAAACGCAGCTCACTGAGCACACAGGTTTCATTTCTTTAAAGTGCAGTCATGTGCCCCAGGAATCTAGTCTGATTGCCTTCTGCTTGCGGAGGCCGGGGGGGGGGGGAATCTTCCCGATTCCTAATTAGGAGATAGAGCCCTAACGAGCTCATTAAGTGAAAATGAATTAATCTGTTCAGCAAGCATTTGTCGGGTGCCCACTGGTGCTGGGCGTTGGTGGATACAGAGGAGAACGGGACCCCGCCCCTACGCTCAGAAGCTTCTATTTGCAGGGGCAGGGGATAAACAGGCAACTACTAGTGATACAGACCCGGGCCCAGGGGGCTGTGAGAGCCCAGAATGGGAGGGAATGGACTCTGCTTGCAGTCTCCTGGAAGAGTTGGGCCTCACGCCAGGAAGCAATTCTTGTTCTCCCCAAAGATTCTGAGAGATGCATGAGTGGCACACGGTTGCCTGTGGCGCCCTCACACCGTCATCATGGTGGAGTCTGAATGCAGCCCGAGGCGGGGGTCCAAGGGTCCGAGCCCATGCCCCTTGCTCACACAGCTGAGCACCCGAGGATGCACCCACCAGGTCCCTGGCAAGCCAGGAAGCCTGTTCCGGAGTGGCCCCCGACCGCCACCTCACCCTGCAGGATCTCACGGCCTCTCCTGTCCTTTCCTCCCAGGGAAACAGCCCCACCCCCCGCAGGCCCCTTTCTCCCTGACTGCTCCCAGGACTTAGGCTTTGGTTCTCCTCTCTCTATTCCAATGACCCAGCATCCATACCTCCAACACCCAGGCCCCTCAAGCACGACCCCAACACCCCCACACACACAGGGCTTGCCTCCCTAGGATGCCTGTGGTCAAGGAGGGCAAAGCCCTGGCCTGTTCCTGGGCAAGGCCAGTGTGCTGTGACCAGGAACTTCCTGCAGAGGAGGGAGGAAACGTCTCTGTGTCTCTGGTAGTCACCTCTAAACTCCTATTTTATGTTCTAAGGAGTTCTTTATTTCTACTTCAGTTCAACTTAACAGACACTGAGCATGCACAGGGGCTGGGATGAGTGAGCTGGTGACTTGGAGCCGGAAGTTGAGCGCAGGAAACATCTTCCTCCACCAGAGTCCGCAGGCAGTGGTGGGTGGCCAGATGCCTGTCCCACTGTAACTCAGCAGTGCCAGAAACGAGGCTCAGAGAGGTACAGGGCCTGGTTCAAGGCCACACAGTAAGTCCTTTCTCCACAAGCCTCGGGTGTCTGAGCGTGGCCAGCTCAGAGGATCCCCTTAGCCAGTACAGCTCTAGGAAGACAGGTAGGGGTGGGGATTCATCTCAGAGTTTAGAAGCCAGTGATTTTGCACCGGCTCCCTCCTCAGTGGCAGCATTCCAGGACTGCAGTGACCGGTGTCATCTCCGGTTTGGGGGACAATTTTGAAGGGGATATGTATGAGTCTGACTGGGGAGTAGGGCATCACCAGTGTGGTTCTGGCGCCCTCATGTGGTTCTCTTCAGTATTGCATCCAGCCCCGGGTTGCGGCCCCGCCTTCAAGTCCCTTGAGGATTAAGAGTGGGGGGGGGGGGGGGGGGGGGAGGCAGAAGTTTATAAACAGATAACAGTTACAGGCCGGCCAACCAGAGTGGTGGATGATGGGTGCTGATATGAGGTAGGGGAAGCAGAGAAAGGGATAGAAGAAGTGACATCTGAGCCGTGTGTCACGTGCAGGGAGTCGGGGCTGCCCAGGGAGAGGAAGTGGTCTAAGCGAGAGCTGGAAGACTCGCTGGCTCCCAGTGCAGGGCCCTCAACGGCTCTGCCCTACAGCCTCTCATTCACGACCGAGGAGGAAAGCGCCGAATTGGAACAGCTCGGTCGTGTTCACACTGAAACGTGGCTACCACAGCGAGGTTAGCAAACACATCCACTCTGTTGCATAATCATTTTTGTTTATGGTAAGATCATTTAAGATCCACTCTCTTAGCAACTTTCAAGGATACAATAAGGTATTGTAACTATAGGCACCATGCTGAATATTATGAGATACCAAAACTTACCTTAGTTTAGAACTGTAAGTCTGAGCCCCCTGGCCAATGTCTCCTCCTTTCCTCCACCCCTCAGCCCGGGGCACCCAACATTCTCCTCTCT